GGCAGGCAGGGATCGAACTCATGAGGAAGTAGCTTTAGCTTCTTAGTGCTGTGCTTTAACACTCTGCGCCACCATGGAGGGCCCAATAAATCTTTTTTAAAAATTTAAAAATAAGAAGATGGACATGTGTATAAATCCAACAAGAAATAAAATCTAATTATTTGATCCTTCTCTTTCAGCCCTTACAGAAGATTCTCCAAAGAAGAAAAAGACAGACCTTTTCTTGGATCTGTTACAGAATCACCAAAGCTTGCTTAACTAATTCACCAAAAGGAAAGGAAATTCTCTTAGCCCTGCCTAGAACTTCTATAATAGAGCAGGGCCTGAGAAGATGGATGAAGTCTAGGATATAAGTAACAAAAGAACTACCTGTAAAACAGCACAGGAGCCAGTGTATTCACCCTTAAAAATGGGAATAATACCACCTGCCTTGCATTTTAATAGGGCTATTGTAACATTTTTGTAGGGAAAAAATAGCAGTAAAATTGCGAATTATACATGATAGAGAACATTTAAGTGACTATTGAATCTGATTTAGAAAAGTGGCAGCTCTACAGCTTTAAGGGCAAGTAAAATGCCTGTGTTCCAAGGATATAGAACTCTTGAAAGAATCCCTGACAGCACAGAAACCTTCTTGCTAAGCCCTTTAGCAGAGTAATCAACAAATCACCTCTTTGCAAAAAAATGACTCCCCTAATCTGAAGCAGAGACAAAGTCCCAACCAAAGAAACAAACTACTAGAACAATATTGCTATAGCTCTCAGGTTCCTACAAACCATAGTCATTCTCAGCACCTGGGAGCTTTCTTTGAGACCTCCTTCCCTGAAATTCAGTATTACTTTAACAACAGAAACTAATTTCTGAACTGAGAGGAATAAAAGACTGAAAGAGAGGCCTAAATGGTATAATCAGCATAGGCAGACCAATTGTTTGGAAGTCTCTTTCTCCATAAACTGAAGTCATGGGTGGTTCTGAGGAATGCTGTCATGCCCTAGGTAGAAAACACACAAGCATATAAATAGACAGACCCCTTCAAGATGCCAGCTAACTCTGAAAACTCAAAATTTCATCCCTTTAGCTTATGTGTAAAATAAAGAACACCTCCAGTCTCACCCAAAAAAAAAAAATCATTTTATGTCAGACACTCATATTTCAGGATGAAACAAAAAGAACATATTATCAGTTGTAGATAGGGATATCTCTGGGACAGCAGAGATGCTCCTCAGGTGTACCAAACAACTGGTCCTACATCTTCCTACTAGTCTTTCTTTTCACAGCCTAATGAGAACCAAGTTTTGAGCTAGGTTTCCACCGTCTAGGAGACACCATAGAGAAACAGGATTAATACGCAAAAAGGACTTATCTTCAAAGTAACAGCCTGCCATGCTTGTTGATAGGGCAACCTTGGCCTCACTTGGAATCCAGCCCTTTGACTACCTGGAATCACACCCAGCCCACTCAAGGAAGTTAAAAGAGGCCTTCCCAATAAAGGGTCTACCACCACAGCCAAGCTCTAGCTACAGCTATGAAACTCTTCAGCCACTATGACCTATGTTTCCTTTTCCTTGTGTCCATGAGTATCCACTGAGCCATCCCCTCACTTAAGCTCACTTAACTCTTTTAAAGAACCCAGTTATAAAGCCTGTGCACTCTGCAGCCCACTGCTCTGAGCAGATTACAGTTACTGGGTGAGAAAAAATGGGGAAAGAAAACTGAATCCCTTCTAAATCTTGCATAAACAATTGAATTTTTAAAATATTCTTTTCTTTTGCAATAGAATACAGGGGATCCTGCTGTCTGATAAAGCTCTATGACAGCAATGTTGAAAAACCAGGACAAATCAAAAATATCATCGAATTTCTAGCTTCATCAGACAAAAGTCAACAAGAATTATATCATGCCTGTGTCAAGAAAAGCTATTTTACTCCCTGGTGGTATACATAACTCCATCTAAGGAATTGCCTTGATATCTCAAGTGGACACAACAAAGAGACAGCAGATTGCCTAAGGGAAGGGAGGGACTGGGGTTCCCATGCTTGCTAGAACAGAAAGACACACCTGAACACCAAGCAATAGGGCAGTAGAGTTGGCCCAGCCTGATTCTCTGCCCAACCCAAGTAGCCTCAACCTCCTGGGTGTCGCCAAGTGCTGAAAATGGCCTAAAGTAATAGATTTATCATCTGCTCAGGCAATTCTTCCAGACAAGAAGTCCTGACACAGGGTCCTGACTTGCCCATCTGACCAGCCAAAGTGCCCCATACTTCTTCCCACTACCAATAAAAGACATGCTGGGGAGGGATGAGAAAAGTTGTTCAGGAGAGGCAAAAACATTAACCACCGCTCCGGAATAAAAAGAACTCCTTGGACAACTAGGAAAAGGCAATGCAATGTGTGAATCCACCATCAATCACACATGCAGAAACCTAGGGTTCAACTTAGCCGCTCGTCTCAGTTCTTAGTCAAAGTCCCTAGCCCAGCTGAGCCTTTGGCAAAGTCTTACCTGCTGCAGTGGACTCCTCAGAACTGGCCCCTGAACTGGTTCCCGTCGCCTTCTCGCTGTGACCATGGCTGAGGCTCTGGCCGTGATGCAGGAGAAGCCCCCAAAGAAGCCACAGAGCAAGACGGGCGCACACATCCATGATTCCAGGTCTCAGTCAACATGCGCCTGATGTTAGACACCTCGGGATCCCAGAGGCAAAGCCGGGAGCCCAGAGTGCAGCCGACGGTCCTGGAACCCCAGGCAAGACGCCCTCGAGGCGCCGCAGCTGCCCTGCCACCCGTGGGCCTGCCTTCCCCGACAGCCAAAGGTCAAGCGCTCCAAGTTTGGGCGCAGGAGGAGGGACGGTGCCTCAGTTCCAAGAGTGGATCCGCTGGAGCTGCAGCGGCCTGAGCGCCCAGCGTACTCTGGCCTCTTCCGGAGAGTTTGGACCGCTGGATGCGGGGCCACGATCAGCTCCGCAGCCGACTACACCCCACTGGAGGGGGCAGACGGGCGGGATCTCCCGCGGGCACCGGAGTGGGGGAGGGAGGAGAGGGAGAGGAAAAGGGGAGCACCTGGCCTCGCCCCGGCGAGAAGTGGCGAGCAGCACAGTCTCGGGGAAGGCGTGAGACTCGCAGACCCCCGCGGGTTCTGGGCTCCTACGCCTCCGAGGTCGAGGTCAGCGCCCCCGCCCAGTCCCGTGCCCAGGAGGCCCTCAGTGCCCAGGTTCAGCAGGCTGACGCGCACCAGCCAGGCCTGGGACAGCGGCTTCCCCGCGGGCGAGCAGGCGGGCGGCGAGGGGCGGGCCTGGGGCGGACGGGGGCGTGCTCTCCCGCAGGCCCGCCCCGTGCCGCCCGGCCCCTAGTGAAGCCCAGACCCGCCCCGACGCCGGTCTTATCCCGGAATAACCTGTCGGAGGCAGACGTCCGGCGCCCCCAACCCCGAAGCTAGCCCGGCCCCAGGCACGCACCACTCTCCGCCTGGACCCCCCTCCCGCACTGAGGGCCAGGATCTTGCTCCTCCCCCCCGTCTTCCCGCAGACAGCCCGCGGATCTGCGGGCCGACCCCTGACACGCAGTTGCTCAGGTAATCCAGGCCTGCGGCAGCAGCAACACCACCAACAGTATCTGCCCTGCCTGGATCTCCCGGTCTTGGTACTATTCCATTCGCCTGAGCGCTACAGCCGAGCTAGAAAGAGAGCCCCCAGCAAACCAACTGAGACCTCGGGCTGCCCGAGATGACAACCGCGCGGCCAGGTTCGGCCCCGGGCGCGCTCCCAGCCCCCCACCAGTCGGCCCCCGGCTTTCCAGGCTCCACCCTCCCACTGCGCCTCACAGCCAATGGGCTTCCGCCTCTCTGCAGCTTAGGAACCCGCGCGCTCCGTCACCCGCGTGCAGCGGCCCCTGGCGGACAAACCTAGACGCTGCAGATGAGACGGCGCGCCAGGGAGGCCCCGCCCCTTTGCGGAGGGTTGGGGAGCGAAGCGAGGACCCGCCCCCGGGGAGGTGCTGGGGAGCCAGCGAGTGTTTTTAGAGGAAATAACGCCAGAAAACAAAATCACTTATAGGTAACATTGCCCTATACTTCCCTTAGTCTCGGCTAAAGGGTCCCACCTGCCTTCCTCACCCCTCTGTCCGCCTCATCCAAGCTAAATCGATGTCCACCCTTAACTCTCACAGCCCGTTTTTGTTTTTTTGTTTTTTTTTTGCCCGACTCTCAAATCCCTCCCCTTTGGGGTTTTTGAGGGTAGGAACTGTAGCCGTTTCCTCTCTGCATCTCAAGCTCGCAGCTATCGGCGTCTCCTGGAGGAGGTGTTTGCCACTTGAGAATGAGCGCCCCAGAGAAGCAGGACGTGCCTGGGCCTTCTTCAACAGAGCCTGCACTTCCTGTTCTCTTCATAAGTATATTGTCAGCAAATCTTTACTGAAACCTGCTCTGTGCCCTACCCTGTCCTTGGCATCGGAGGCAGGGGAAGGGATTAAGCCCAGTCCCTCCCCTGTTGGTGCTAAGCCGGCTAGCTACCTGTTCTGAGCAAACCCTGTTAAAACCGGGAATACGGGTCTGCCCAACAGCTGCCTGGCTCGAGGGTTAGGCTGTTGATATTAAAATAAATGTGTAACGTCATTGCCTGCTCACTTATTAAACGCCAGGCACAATGGCCTTTTTAAGTTCCTCAAACACAAGGAGCCTCTTGCCCTTTTAGTTGTTGTTGCTTCTACCTGAAACACTGTGCCAGCTCGTCCCAGTTGACTTGTCATTCTTTCAGATAGCATTCAAGGTCTCCTCCTCAGAAGCTCCTACTCAGAGCATTCTTTCTGGTTCACCCCATCCCAAACGATTGTGAGTTCTCAGAGGGGTTGTGCTTCATTCATCTCTGGGAAACCAGGATCCTGCCATAAGCCCTGCACAAGAAAGTGCTTATAAAAGCTAGGTGACATAAGTTAATTCATTTGATCATTCAAGTATTTATTGAGTGACAACTGCATGCCCTGGGAAACTGGCCAAAACGGAAGATGAGAGGCCTGTTGGTGTAGGGGTTCAGTCTCAGCCCTATCATCATTGAGGCCTGAGTTCAATCTCTGCCAAAAAGTTAACCCACATTTGTCACAGTGCAAACCTCTCCGGCCTTGCCTTGCTACGCCCTTTAGCAGTGTATTTTCATAGATTTGCCTTTTTACACTCCCCAATTTATCTCTGGTGAATATTCTCACCCACTCACCCACCAACCACCCACCCCCACCTTTGGCCTATTTGCCTGTTCTTGTATGCATAAATAAATAAAAGTTAAAAAAAAAAAATGAGTCCCTGACCTAGGTTCTACTTGAACTTAAGCTGTGAATCAGAATCTTAAACTCAAATGGTAAAGTGGGCAGATAGATAAGATTGAGGGAAGTAGGTGAGAGAGGTAGGAACTAGTGTTGATCGTGACACTCCAAAGAGTGGGTGTCATTTTTGAGAAAAGGTAAAAGTCTGGATATTTATATGATAAGTCTCTTTTTTTAAATGTTAATGAATAGTTTTTAAGTGTGAAACTATAGCTAGGCCACCTAAAACATATCTACAGCCTAAATAACTCAATTTGTTATTTCTTCATCTAACCCACCTGCCTATGTACTCATTTGTTTAAGAGAACATATATTAAAAAAGAAAAGTAGCATGCTTAATACAACTTCCTTTAAATTCAACTGCATCATCTCTTTCAGTCACGCTTTATTTGTGCATAACCCATTTGGTACAAGGAGGTTGGGTCTTGGCGACAGGAAGTGAGGATCTGTTACCAGTTCACGCCAAAGAACTTGAAACTCTCAGAGCCTGTTGCATTTCCTGTGTGGCTAAAATGGTGTCTGCAAACTAAAAATAAATTACTGTATGATCCAGCAATTCCACTTCTGGGTATATACCCAAGAAAATTGAAAATGGTGTTTCAAAGAGATAGTACACCAATGTTCTTAGCAGCTCTATTCAATAGTCAAAAGGTGCCAACAAACCAGTGTCTATGGACAGATAAATGAATAATTAAAGTGTTTGTGTATGTGTGTATACAATGGACTATTATTCAATCTTTAAAGGACAGAAATTTGTGTCTCCCTAGTGTCACAGAGGTTAAAGACACAGTGCTATCATGCTATTGCCACTGAGGCATGAGTTTATGAGTTCAATCCCTAGCTAGTGAGGTTACCCACATGGCATAGCAGATCTCTTTTGTCTTGCCCGCTGCTCCCCTCAGCAGTGTATTTCATTCAATCTGCTTATTCTGCTCCCCATTCTGTCTCTGGTAAATCCTCTCACTCCCTCCCCTTGGCACCTCTGGCCTACACCCTAGTTCTTGTGTGCATAAATAAATAAATATAAATCTTTTTTAAAAAGGACAAAAATTCTACATACTATTACATGAATGCTTGAATATCAGATAAAGGAAATAATTTGGTCACACAAGGACAAATAAAACATAGCTACTTAAGTGAAGTAGCTAACATAATGGAATTCATAGAGACAGAAAGTAGGACAGTGGTTGTCAATGGCTGGGAGGATGGGAGGATAGGAAAAGTTACTTAATGATGATAGTTTCATGTTGAGTGTAGCTTCAGCAATACCGCTCACCACATTGTGAGTCTCAGGAAGAAATAGATCTCTCTTAGGGTCTTGCTCCTCATAGATATTTTACAGATGTCAGTTAAATCAAATTAGATTAGCAACTTTAACAACTCTCTATTCCATGATTAGCAAGAGCTTTCACATCTATGATCTCATCCCTCCCTCACAACTCTGCCAGATAAAACAGAGGCTCTACTCCTTTCACAGCTGAGGAAACAGGCTGAACAGATGAAATTGCAACCACATCAAGCTCTCTATCTCCTTTGGGATTTCTTCCCCATTCTTCAATTCTCAACTGAAATAAAATAAAAGCATCCAATCTGTAACCTGTGAAGACAGCGTATCATGAAGCAAGAGTTATGACTGTCAAAAAAGAAAAAAAGAGACCCAGCTCAAAAAATCGCCCCTTTCTTTCTTTGACATCTTCCTTGACTTAGCCCATCTCTCCACTCTTCTGTATCCCTTTCTGATTTAACTGGGTTGTGATTATCTGATAAGTATCCCCAGGAACCTTTGAACTTATCAGGGACTGCTGAGGGGAATTGTAAAGGACTTTACCAAGTACATAGCTGGCCTTTGATAAAAGTAAATGAATGAATGATGCGTGTTCTGTAAAGTGCCCTTCCTCTAGGCCACAAGCCTTCTGGATACCATTAGCTTTCATTTGCAAAGTGAAACTATCTCTAACAGAAGTGCAATAAAAGAGTCCTAAATTTCCTGCTCAGAAAAAAAGTTTAGGATTCCCTGAGTTTGAGCTGCTTATCAGCGGCGCTCCCTGGTGTTCAAGTGTGGCAAGTTCAGTTATTACTGAGAGTCCTCCAGGTTTGGTTAAGTAAGAAATGAGGAGGGAGAGCTTGGTCTCTAAGAGTTCTTCCTAGGTTAGTTTCACAAAGAGATTGATCGTCCCCTTCCATAATAATTTCTACAAATTTAGTCCTAATGTTCATGTTTTCTGAGCTCGTTTGTGACAATCCACTCCTACACTCACAGAGCTCAATTGGGAATGGTGTATTGTTAGAAGTGGTTGATATTATCTTGAGAGGAATTGACACCAGGACAGGTGAGAGAGCACAGAGGGACAAGTAACTGCTTAAAGCAGTCAGAGAGGCTGTGCAGAAGCACACGTTGCAGGAGACAGAAAGGAACTCTGGAATTAACCTGCATAAGTCCATGTCCTGACTCTGTGTGGGGTTCTGAGCAAGCTAAATGCTCTTGGAACACTCCAGAGTTAAGGAATGAAGAACTACCCAGAAAGGATTATGACAGTTCACTTGGGTACCGCCCAGCTTGTAGAACCTCAAAGATGCAGAGGTGTCCTGGAGACAAACCAGACTACTGTGTGTTATACCTGTCTGCAGGAGAGCCCCTCTTGGATTTCTGGGTATTCCCTTTGTCCCTGCCATTCCCCATCCAGTTAGTTGCTCAGAGAGAATCAGAACAGAGGATGAGATTCAAACATTAATTTGTCACTTCCCCTATTGATTGCTTCTGCTATCTCCTATCTTGCCTATAAAAACCCACGAAATGGGATGATTAGGCTTGTTTTTTGAGGATAGCAATAAAGGCAAGGAATCAAGGGAAGACTCCAAACTCTACTCTTCAGACATAAATTAAGAGGAGTCCCAAGAAGGCTAAGTCCCTGGAGCCACATCAAAGACAAACTCAGATTTAAAGTTAACCTGAGACTGGCACT